AAAGGAGGCGGGGGGGTGGCAATGTGCTGGGTTTGGGGGTGTGCGGTAGGAAAGGGCTGGCGGCAGGCAGGGAGCGAGGCGATGTGATGCTGTCCATGGCGCCCCTGCAGCCGGGCAGGCACAGAGGCGGGCAGAGAGCTGAACCACGTCTCATGTCGGTTTTGCAATTACTCCTGTATTCTGAGCAAACATGTTTCTGTCCCCTGATGGCCATCAGGCGGCTGGCACCGAGTGCCGGATAGGCACAATTAGGGCTGCTTTGATTGAAAAAAATTTGGGTCGTTTAGCAACATTTCCCTTCTCTGCTTGGGTGAGTGAACTCAGACTTTTCATGCTAGAAACACCCCTGACTTTGTGCCCAAACACGGCTCTTTGAGTGTTTTGCTGCATTTATTTCGAGTGGGAGGAACGGCAGGGGTTCATCTCCTCCTGCTCTTGCCAAGGAACTCACCTGCTGGAGTAGGTACCCACGTGCATGGGTGACGTCCTGTTCCTACATCAATGTGGTGTTATTCATCTGAACATCATATTCGTGCGTGGATATGACAGGCAGAGCCTGCACGTAAGCGTTAAATCATTGGAAAGTCGGACCAAATGTATGTGAATAGTAGTTCACAGTATGATATTAATATGGTTATTATATGTTAAAATTAATAGTGCGTTTGGTGGGTCCCCACTTTGTTCATGAAAGTAAAGCCTAGAAATTTTTTTTTTTTTTTTTTGGAAAGCAGGTTTAAATAAAGACACAAACTGCCTGCCATGGAATTATCACGGACACAGGTTTTATAGCGATTCCAGCCCCACCACTGTACTTATTCTGACTGCACTGAAATGGCAGGAAACCATAGGTTTTCAGCATGCGTTCATCTCTGCTCCCACTTCCATAGATGGTCCTGCAAACAGCATTACAATAAAAAAAAAAAAAAAAGCTGGGGAAAAAAAGCTAGGACTAATGAACTTCATTTGTTACCTTGCTGGCGTTAACGATGCCTTGCCATAAGGAGAATAAATGAGCCAGCCCGTGCCTGGCGCGTGGCGGCAGAGCAGGTGCTGGTGGCTCGCGGAGCAGATTCCAGGCCAGCGGCACGAAGGGCTCGGGTGCCAGTTCGCCTCTTCTCTGCTGTCGAAAGCAGCATCTTTGTTGTCAGGAGTTGCAAAGTAGCAGGTTTTGTGGTTGTATTTCAGTGCAAAACTTTGCCATCTATTCGGTGCTTCCCTGCTTTGTGGGAATACAGCATTTAATTGCTTTGCCAGACCTTGAAAGTGGAATGTCTTACAGCTGATAGATATTTGTAAAAACTGTGGATTACAAATTGGATCGTAATCCAATTTGATTCGATTACAGCATGTGCTTTAATACCTTTCCTCTTTGGTGGCGTTTGCGGACAACACCAAGCAGTGTGGAGCGGTCGATGTGCTGGAGGGAAGTGATGCCACCCAGAGGGACCTGGACAGGCCGGAGAGGTGGGTCCGTGCCAACCTCATAAGGTTCAACAAGACCGAGTGCAGGGTCCTGCATGTAGGTCAGGGCAATCCCAAGCACAAATCCAGGCTGGGTCGAGAATGGATTGAGAGAGTCCTGAGAAGGACTTGGGGGTGTTGGTGGAGGAGAATCTCAACATGAGCCGGCAATGTGTGCTCACAGCCCGGAAAGCCACCGGCACCCTGGGCTTGCATCCCCAGCAGCGTGGCCAGCAGGGCAAGGGAGGGGATTGTGCCCCTCTGCTCCGCTCTGGTGGGATCCCACCTGGTGTACTGCCTCCAGCTCGGGGGTCCCAACAGCAGAAGGACACGGAGCTGTTGGAGCGGGGCCGGCGGAAGCCCTGGAGATGCTGGGAGGGCTGGAGCCCCTCTGCTGGGAGGACAGGCTGGGAGAGTTGGGGGGGTTCAGCCTGGAGAAGAGAAGGCGAAAAAGGGGAGACCTCAGAGCCCCTTCCAGTGCCTAAAGGGGCTCCAGGAGAGCTGGGGAGGGACTCTGGATCAGGGAGGGGAGTGATGGGACGAGGGGAAACAGTTTTACACTGGAAGAGGGGAGATTTAGACAAGAAAAAAGGAAGAAATTGTTGACTGTGTGAGTGGTGAGCCCCTGGGGCAGGTTGCCCCGAGAAGCTGTGGCTGCCCCATCCCTGGAGGTGTTCAAGGCCAGGTTGGACAGGGCTGTGAGCAACCTGGGCTGGTGGGAGGTGGCCATGGCAGGGGTGTTGGACTAGTTGGCCTTTGAAGGTTCCTTCCAACCCAAACTATTCCATGAGCCTGGGTGATGCAGAGCCCTGTGCACGTGTCGCTTTTCAGCAGTGCCCCCGTCGGCCGCGTCACCGAGTGGTGATGTTTGCTTGTGTGTGAGCTCCTGCATCCAAAGTGGTGCACTTGGCTGCCATCCTGAAGCTCCAGCACTTTTCTGCTCGCCAAAAGCCGACGACTACCTGAGAAAAATCACCAGTCTGAAGCCTGGCTTGCTTGCACTGGAGAGAAGTAAAAGATGAGTGTCTGTACCACGTTGGTGCCCTGAGCCGGGGTGCAGATGGGTGCATTGGGAACCCATTGGTGTTACTGCACAGGGACATGCTGGAGCGTGGTCACAACTCATTAGTGAGCTAATTGAATGAGGCAAGTGGTGGCCTAAGGAGCAGGGAGCAGTCAGTATGTTCTCAGAGGGGTAATTCGCCATGTCGCATCATCCGGCGTCGTGAGCTCAGCAGCCAGGCGGGTGCTGGAGCCACCGGCACGGAGCATCCGTGGTGGTGTGGTGTTGGTTCCCATGGGAGCTGCGCTTTTGGAGATCCTCAGGCTTTGTCTGCTGAGCTGTCTCGTTTTAAAAATAAAAAAAAAAAACCAAAAACAAACCCTGGAAAAAAATCCCCCGTGTGCATAAGCGTAAGCACTTATTTCCTCGTTTTCTCTTGTTTTCCCCTGAGGATGCTTTTTGAGGCTGATTTCAGCCAAACTGGAGCCAGGAGTGTGGCCGCACCGTTTGGGTGAGCTGGGAGAGCCTGGGGCCTCAGGATGGACCCTTGGAGGCTGAAAAAGCAGCTGTGGTGTGAGCCGGCGCTATATTAGACACTAGAGATTCCACACAGGGGTGAGGATGTGAATAGCCGATGTTGGCTTACTTCTACAACCCTGTGCTGATTTTGGTTGCTTGCTGGCACAGCTGCCGCCAACATTGCACTGGTGCTCCCTACACACCGGGCCGGCACCCACCTAAAAACCGGGGTGGCTGCTGCATGGCTCCGAGCTGGTGAGTCCTCCGGAGAAGCCGTGTCGGGGCCAGGCAGTGTGAACGTGGGGCGCGTGCGAGGCTGCGTCTATGCACAAGGCTGCGCTGGGCAGCGAGGACCGCCCCGGCGCAAGAGGCGGTGTGGGAACACTTAATTTGTGAGTTTTGTTGTTTTGTTGTTGTTTTTTTTTTTAAAAAAAGCAAACCTGCTGAAGATCTCAGGGAGCTGTTTGCCAAAGTGGCGGCTTCGGAGCGTGTTTTTGCTGGTAGGGGAGCAGGGCTGGGGGTGAAACCTCGGCACCCCTCGCTGGTGCCACCCCGTACACGCCGGCGAGGTGTGCGTGGGTGCGCCTGGAGAGTGCCGAGGGGGTCTTAGGCAGGGGAGGAAAAGCAAAGCAAACAGGCAAAGATGTTTTGAGGAAGCATCTTCAGGCACGAGGGGTGAGAAGATGCCGTTGAGAGATTGGGATGGTGAACACGGGCATCCGCAGCCTGCCCGGCAGCATCTCGGGACTCCCGCTGCATCCCGGGAGCCTTGTGTGCCCTCCCTCCCCTCGCAACTGTACTTGGTGTGCTGGGCAGGGAAATGGTTGTCCGTGACTGTCACTGAGCTTTACCACCTTCTCTTCGTACAGTTGCTGGTGAGAAGAGGGTGCCAGTGATGCCCGGATCGCCCGTGGAAGTGAAGATACAGTCCAGGTCCTCTCCTCCCAACATGCCGCCACTGCCCCCCGTGAACCCCGGCGGCCCCCGCCCGGTGTCCTTCACCCCGACTGCACGTAAGACCCCAGTAACACTGCTTTTTTCTGGGACCAGCTGTAGCCGGGAGGAAAGGCTCTGCTTGTACAAGTCACCGGGGCCTCTCAGCCATGGGCCAGGGCTGCCCGCCAGCGTGGGGAGCGTTAGCCGTGCTGCACGGCTGTCGGGAAGGGGGGACTGGGGCTTTCCTGCCGTTCTGCTACATATTCAGGACGTGTAATGGGGTCTGTAATCTCCCTTACCCCCCCTGCCTTGCTCCCGGTGCTGCCTTGAGTCCCTCTCGTTGCAGGTGCAGCCTTGATTTCTGCCATAAATTCCTTAAGAAATTGAAGTCCTTTATCAGGTTGGCTTCAAACGAGCCAAGAGCCAGGCTTTTCGCTCTATCTTTTCGAGGAGTTAATTCGCGCTCTGCTGTATCTCACTTTGCAGGCAGAGTTTCTGCAGCTGAGATTAGAAAGTTTTCCTTTTTTTTTTTTTCTTTTTTCTTTTTTAATTTCCCAGCCTCAGAAATTCCTTGCTGTCCATCCAGCTTCTCTTTTCTTCATCTTCGCTTTGTAATCTTTGCTATTAAGCCGCGGTAGATCCTTGCCCTGCCCGGCCGTAGCGCAGCCTCGCACCCTCTGCTTCTAACAGGGTGTCGCTCAGACGTGACTCCATGGGTGGGATGGACGTACAGCCTTTTCTTAGCGCCTAGAAAGACTCTTTTTTTTCTCCCTTAGCCAACATTTCAGCTGCGTAATGTCTTTTAAAAAGCATCATTCTGGAGCGAAGCTTTGTTGGGCATGGAGTTATCTGACCCCTGCGTGTGGCAGGTATTTTCCAGGCTCTCCTCACCCCTTTTCCCCCGTGTTGAGCGTCTCCCTCGCTGGTTTTGCATTGCTTTGCTGTCCCCGACGGTGTCTGGGATATCTCAGAGTTTCACGCTGGCAATGGATTTCGGAGATTTACAATCCAGCCTCTTTCGGGACTCACACTGATGTATTGCGTGGTGCTGGCAGTCACACTAACCCCCGGGTTATCCCGCCAGACACGTTGTCCCCATCTTAATGCGCTGAGGGGTTTTTAATGGCTCTCCTTTTGCTGAGGCAGAAAAAGACCATTAGCAAAGTGACAGAAATTAATTTTTCCAATGAGGTTGCTTGGCACGCTGCTAAGGGCCAAGAAGCCTGAATCTGCTGATTGCAAATGACTTAATTGTCTCTTTCCAAGAGAGATGAGAGATGCAACCTGTGGTGAAGTTCATTCTTGCCTTTTTATTTCTGAGTCAGGCCAAAAGGTCTTGGTCAGAGTCAGCGGGTGTGTGCCCTGCCTTGTGAAAGCCCGGGGCTTGGGCAGGCGAGGAGGAGGAGCGCGCTGGAGGAAGGCTGTGGAGGAACAGCGAAAGCCTTCAACTATTGAGGACCTAAGGCAGAATTTAACAGAGCAGCCCTAGATGATGACTTTTATATTCCCAGGAATTTTGCATCCTCCTTTCCCCAAACCCAGTAATCCCACTGATCTTGGTAGGCCACGTCGCTTGCTTCATCGCTGTCTTCTCACCTGGAAATAGAGGTCCCAGCCCGGTTCTGTGGTCTGTGGCGGAGCAGATCCTGGCGATGCGCGGGATCAGATAACTGCCAGCCGCCCTGCGGTAACGCCGTTTGCAGGAGGGTCAGGCAGGGTGAGCCTGAAAACGCAGAGAGCGGTTACGGGGGCTGCGTTTAACGGCAGGCCCGCGCCCAGCCACCGCGCCCCCCCTCCG